TACACATGAAACCCCCTGGTTCATCCCATCTCTCAGGCTGGGGCTCCAGGCATTTGCGCCCTTGGGTGGTGAATGGTGGGATGCTTTCTGCCAGGGCCCAGTGTTCCTGAAGGAGTGGGCCCTGAGGCCTGGTCAGGCGATGCTGTCTGGCAGTGCTGTCCTGTCAGGATAAAAGGCCTCAGGGCCTCTAGGACATTGTCTGTGACAGAACCTCGGCTCCTACTCTCCAAAGCTATAGGACAAAGCAGGCTTTTACACCTGTGACCGGAGAGGTGGATAGGAGGGATATTCTTTCACTTTTTAACTGCCAGCGGGTATGCGCGCGAGAGCACGGATGCCCGCCTGCCCCAGCGGAGCTTGGTTACGCCGCAGTCCTTCCTCCATTTCTCTTTCCCGTGAGGATTTGGGGCATGCACACATACACGCCCAGTGTGTGTTTCAAGCTGCCAGGGTCAGGATTTGATCTGCATTTGGACATGCAAGATCTGGCTCCCAATGCACAGGGCTTAACCACTACATTGTGAAGCTGATCCAAAATGGATATTCTCGTCCCCATTTTACAGGGGAGAAAGCTCAAGCCCAGACAACAGATGAGACTAGCCCGGGCCCCTCTGGTGGAATGACCAGTGAGAAGGGCAGCGAGCCCGGAGGTGGGCTTCCCGGTGTGTTTCGTATCACGGCACGCTGTGGCGCCGGGGGCCAGACAGTCCCCCCTGGCTACCAGCACCAGGCATGGAGGGGGCTGGGCAGTGAGGCAGGAGGCAGCCTGTACGAATATGGGAGGGACCGGCCACTCTCAATGCCCTGCCCTGGAATCCTGACCACCCCAGGGCCTCCACCTTAGGACACATTCTCAGCCCCACTCCTGCCCACCTAGCACTTCAGGGTTTTGCTGCAGACTCTTGTTTAATGAGGCTTTTCCTCGGTTCCCAGAGAAGGCTGGGGAGAACCACCCCACTGCCCAGCCGCAGGCCCCCCCACACACATGGACACATGCACACGTGCCAGGCCAGCAGCTGGAGGCTGAGCTGGACATGGGTTTTCCAGACCCAGCCTGAGCTGTGCTGTAGCCCGGAGCTCAGGCAGCAAAGCTGGACCTGGAGACCCAGCATGGCCAGGATGGTCATCTCTGGCCCTCTCTCAGGCAGGAGGACTCTCCAGGGCATCCTGGCCAAAGCCCAGGGAAGGTCATTTACCTGTTGTGAAGCCACCCTGTCACAGTCCTCGAACAGACCCCCCAACTCAGGACACAGTGGGCACAGCGGAGACTCCGAGACGACCTTCCTAGAGCTGCACTTCAGACCCCAAGCCCTGCCCCTAAGGCAGTCAGGGTCAGAGCCACCCACTCCACCAGCCAGGCCTAGTCAGTCTGAGGGTCAGAGAGCCAGAGCCAAGGCTGGAAAGCAGGGCCTTCTCTGAAACGGGCTTACACATGAAACCCCCTGGTTCATCCCATCTCTCAGGCTGGGGCTCCAGGCATTTGCGCCCTTGGGTGGTGAATGGTGGGATGCTTTCTGCCAGGGCCCAGTGTTCCTGAAGGAGTGGGCCCTGAGGCCTGGTCAGGCGATGCTGTCTGGCAGTGCTGTCCTGTCAGGATAAAAGGCCTCAGGGCCTCTAGGACATTGTCTGTGACAGAACCTCGGCTCCTACTCTCCAAAGCTATAGGACAAAGCAGGCTTTTACACCTGTGACCGGAGAGGTGGATAGGAGGGATATTCTTTCACTTTTTAACTGCCAGCGGGTATGCGCGCGAGAGCACGGATGCCCGCCTGCCCCAGCGGAGCTTGGTTACGCCGCAGTCCTTCCTCCATTTCTCTTTCCCGTGAGGATTTGGGGCATGCACACATACACGCCCAGTGTGTGTTTCAAGCTGCCAGGGTCAGGATTTGATCTGCATTTGGACATGCAAGATCTGGCTCCCAATGCACAGGGCTTAACCACTACATTGTGAAGCTGATCCAAAATGGATATTCTCGTCCCCATTTTACAGGGGAGAAAGCTCAAGCCCAGACAACAGATGAGACTAGCCCGGGCCCCTCTGGTGGAATGACCAGTGAGAAGGGCAGCGAGCCCGGAGGTGGGCTTCCCGGTGTGTTTCGTATCACGGCACGCTGTCACTGGGTGGGTGGCCAGCAGCTAGTTGCTGTGCAGAGAAAGCCGGATCTTCCGTGGCCGACCAGGATTCAGATCCCGGCCCTGTCTGCCTCACACTTGCGTGCATGGCCCAGGGTCCTGGTGGGAGGAGAAAGGACCGTGGTACGATCCGTTAGCGGTCTCCCTGCCTCTCTCCCTACCACGTGCGTGCTTGTGCTATCATGAATAAAAATGAACTGTAAAAATCATTACCACTGGACTGATGGAGAGGGGTGCTGAAGGCCGGCATGAGAAGTCCTGAACATTGCGAGCAGGGAGGGGAGTGGAAGGTGTGGGGTTGAGGGAACTAGGGCCTGACCATGGAGAGCTTCGCAGGCCCCAGGTAAGACAGTGTGGCCCCTGGGGGCATTAGACAGGGCGTGGCACAGTGTGGCATGTGTGGCGATTAGGCAGAAGGCTGGTTACGGGGGCAGGAGAGAAGCAGAGGTTTGGGGGGAGTCCAGATTGGACTGGGTAGGGGACAGGGATGGCTGGAGTCCAGGCATGTTTTGAAGGCAGAGAAGTAGGATTTGATGATAAACTGGACCGGGTATGAGAGAAAGAGAAGACGCAAGAACGAGTCAGAGCTTTTCGTTTGAGCCACTGAAGGATGGAGTTACCAGTAGCTGAGGAAGACAGACACATTGGGACAGGAAGTCAAAAGTTCTGGTTTGGGGGAACCAGCAGTTAGCATAATGGCTATGTCACTGGACTCCCACGTAGTCGACCGTGGTTCGCGTCCTGGACCTGGTGGCTTAAAACTCACTCCGGGAGCGTGTGCGTGCGTGCCCAAGATCCTGAGAAGAGAATGGAGGAGAAGGGATTGCGGCGTGGCCATCCCCGCTGGGGGGTGATTTCTTGCTTTCTGTCTCTCTGTCTCTCTCTGTCTGTCTGGCGAGCGCACGCGCCCTATAGCGAAAACCTCTCCAAAAAAAAAAAAAAGTTCTGGTTTGGGTAAGTTGAGTCTGGGGTTGTGTTTCAGAGTTCCGAGCAGAACTGAGTGGGCATTTGGAGAGGGGAAAGGGGGTCGGAGACAGGAACGTAGAGGCATCAGATGAAGATGTTCGAAGCCCTGGTAACCCTGGATGAGAGGAAGAGGATAGGGGTCAGAAACAAGAGCAAGAAGAAGCCACCCCTATGGCTGGAGGAAATCAGCTAGTGTAGCATTCTGGAAGCCAAGAGAAGAAACTAGTTGAGGAGGAGGAAGAGGTCAGGTGTGTCTGATGCTGCTGAGAGAGCGAGCAAAATGAGACTGGGAACTAGCCATTGAGGTCAGGATGTTGGCAGTCCCCAGGGACCGTGACGGGAGCCATCCAGTGGGAGGTGGGGCAAGGACTGGCTGGCAGGGAGAACAAGAGCTGACAACTACAGGCAGCGACGGGGACAGGTCTGCGGAGGTGTCTGTCAAGGGGAGGAAGACGGGGTGGTAGCCGGGGGGATTTACACGAGGGGAAAATGGCAGCCTGCCTGTCGTACCCTGGTGGGAGGGCACCTGGGCTTGCACGGTCTTGGCGTAGTGCCCAGCGGTGGCGGGTTCTCAGGACTGGTATGTCACATGTGTCACACACCCCGCAGCTGCCCTGGCTCACTTCTCTCCCTTGCCAGCCACCTGTCAGGACAGCCACTCCTGTCTGCTGGAGGACAGGAGGCGGCCTGGGTAGCCGTTAGGTGAGGCGCCTCTGGGTGGCAGGCGACGAGCAGGGGACAGGTGTCGGGGCAGCGTCTCCCCAAGGCCTGGGGCTGTGGGGAAAGGTGACAGGCCAGGGCCTTTGCAGGGACAGGTGACAGCCTGTGCCCAGCTGGGACCTTCATGCCTTGGCTGCAGGGGGCTCAGGTCTAGCCTCACCCTGGACCTGCAGCAGCCAAGTGCCACGGGGCCTGTGCCAAGCTCCTCACTGAGTCAGCCCAGAGCTCCCCAGACCTGGAGATAAGGAATCAAGAGCCCCGTTCACCACCAGGAGAGCATTCATGTAAGGAATCAGCTAAAATCACTCAGTAGGGAATTTCACCCACGGGGGAGGGGGCAGGACACAGCTCTTACTGTGTTCTTGCCCGAGATGTCCCATTTCTTCTGTGCCACGGGCCACAGACACTGTCCTCTGTGCCCAGCCAAGCAGCGGCCGCCCACTGCCGGCTTTTCAGAGATGGTATCTCCAGGGCCCTGGCCGGCACAGGTGTGCGCCTTGGCCCCAGCAGCGACGCCCTGTGGCCAGGTTACGTGGGAAACCTTCCCAGCCTGCTGACGAGTCATCTCACAGCAGAGCCATGCCACTAGTGTGAAAAGTAAGAGTCCTGTGCTGGGCAGGAAGCAGGACGTGTGGGGCTGGGCCCCTCGCAGCCCCACCTCCCCTAACGGGACTGTAGAGGGCCGTTCCCTGTGTCCACAGTCCTGTGAGGCCCGAGGTGGGACAGATCAGATCCAGAATCCCCAGGAGAGAGGCTGCAGGGAGAGGGACGAGACCGTCAGGCTGTTCTAGGGGAGACAAGATGGTCAGACCGTGTCCTGCTATTGGGGCTGCAGGCTGTAGGCAAGCCCCTCGGGCAAGCTGGGGGGTCTGAGACTGGGAGGTCAGGAAGGGTCTTCTGAGCTGGGGTGAGATGCCTCCTGGAGCTGGGTGCCCTGAAAGGCCAAGAGGTTCTCCAGGTGCTGTGACTCAGGCAAAGTCTGGGGGCTGGCAGGCAGGACGGCCTCTGGACACAGCTCAGGCGGCGTGGGCGTGCCCTTCCCTGCGGCCTCTAGTTGACGCCAGTCCTTGCCACCTGGGCTGCCGGCACACAGCTCACTGGGGCTCTGCCTGGATGCACCCCCACCCCCGAGTCTCCCTCCCTCAGGACTCCCGCATTCACTCGCTCTCCTCATTTTTCAGCACAACAAGGCCAGTCAGCCCCCTCACAGCGTCCCCCAGCTCTCTCCTCTCTATGAGCATTTCAGCAGCCCTCACCCTACACCTGCACCTGCGGATGTCAGCCAGAAACAAGGTACAGGCCTGGGTGGGGGAGGACTGGCCCCACCTGAGACCAGGTAGCCCACTGCACAGCTGCGGAGCCTGGAGCTGTCAAGCCCAGACCCCGAAGGACGTGCTCGCAGGAGAGTCGGGGGGTATGAGGGTAGCAGAGGGCAGGGAGGGAGGAGGGGGTCAGGCTGAGACGGCAACCTAAAAGCTGTGGGTTTCCCTGGTGCCAGCACAGGAGCAGGCCTCTGAGCACTGAGCGTTGTAAAACTCAGCCTTTCCTCCGGTGAGAAAATGGAAAGTGGTGGTTGTGATGGCTGATTCACCTTGGCCTCGGGCAGAGTCATTCTGAGACCCGCCATCGTCAGCTGTGGGAAACCTCCTGACTCAACGCCGGGGGGCGGGTGGAGCCCTGGCGCTCCAGACCAGGCTCCCTTGTCCAGGGGGCTGCCAGGGCACAGCCCCCGGCCGATAGGTCCCAGCTGCAGACCAGCAGTGGCCAAGGGGCTAGCCAGGCCTGGCCTCCCTCTCTTCTGAGTGCTCACCTCAGCCCAGGGGCCAGCCAGTGCTCTCGGGCAAGTCACTCACCCTCTGCACCCCGTTCCCTTGGCCGACAAAGGGGCACTGGTCTCACCCCGGGAGAGTCCAGGTTACAAACTGGTTGATGTCTGGGTCTCTAGCAGAGGGGAAGGATCCAAGATGCTGTAGGGGGCGCTGGGATGTCGTAGCTGCTCTAGTAGCCCCTCAGGGCTGGCTCACCTGCTTATGTGCCCTTCTCCACTCAGGAGTCCACAGGCCTCTGCAGACCCCTGACCTCTCTGGCTTCTACTCTCTGACCTCGGGCAGCATGGGGCAGCTCCCCCACACTGTGAGCTGGTGAGTATGGGCCCCGTGGAAAAGGGACACCACACGGGTCCCATGCCTGCCCTTTGTTTTCCTTCTGCACCCTGTGCTGAGCACCCCACTGCCAGCACTGTCCCAGCCTGGCTCTGGGCCGGGGTCCCTGTGGTCTCCTGGCCTATGGGCACTCTTCAGGGAGCTGGACACACTGCTTTGGACAGAGGAAGCCTGGCTCCTGGTCCCAACCCCTTCCCATCTGAACTCTCCCTCAGGGACCAAGGGACTTGGGCTCCTGGACCCCTCAGATGGGAAGACTCTGGGCTGTTCACGGACCCCCAGAGCCATATGAGTATGTGAGGAAGAAAAGGGAGGCCTGAACAGGGAGGTGACAGCACAGATGGCTGTTGGGCTGCTGTGTCTCAGCTGCCTAGCTGCAGAGGGTACTCCTGCTGGTCTCAGTGCTGCCACCTCGACTGAGCTGCCTGAGTGGTGGAGTCCCTCCTTGGCCCTGTGGTGGCTGCTGGGAGGGACTACTAAGGCTAGGCCAAGGGAAGGCAGCCGGCACATCCATCAATAGGCCTGTGGGCCAAAGGGCTCCTCCTTAGCTGGGGTCGGTCTCAGCAGGCTGTGTGGCTCTTCACTCGTCGACCACAGTGGGACCCAGGCAGGTCTAGCCTGTCTGCTGGGGTGGGCACCAGGACAGAGCAGGAAAGCTTGGCTTCCTGGGGAGGCAGAGCAAGCCAGAGGCCCACCCTGGGCCCACCTGCCCTCTGCCCATGGCCAGAGTATGCATGTACTGTCCTTGGACAAGGCTCAATTCCATACGAACCCGGACTACTCCCATGAGTACCCCAGGATCACAGAGGGCTGATTGCTCAGAGTCCAGCTTGACAAGGCCAGACCATGGTTCTATGGAAGCAAATCCCTGGGCCAGCCTCTCAAAAGCATCCCTATGTCAGAAGCTCTTGAAGGCCAAGAGATGGGAGCCCAGAGAAGTTTACCCACTGACGCTCTATAATGTGGGACTTTGGGCCCAGGAGAGGGGAGGTGGCTCTGCTCCCCTCCTCTCCCACCTCCCACCGGGTAGCACTTGCTGCCAGGAGAGATGTGGGGGTATTTTAGCCATCTCTGCAGTGAGCCCTGTGTGCCAGGCTGACTCATCTTTAGGTCCCTGCCCTCTTAGACTCAGTCTACCGAGTGGGCAGTCCAGGCAAGAGGCCAGACAGTTACGGGGCACTACTAGCAGTGTTCGGATTAAGGGCTGCAGGAGGCCAGAGGGGTGCTTCTTTTAGCTTGGGTCTCAGGAATTTGGGAAGGGGTCACTTAGCCACACAAGACCTGAAAGTCTTGACCAGGAGTTGGACATGCAGAGTGGGTCAGAAATCATCCCTGTACTGTTGAGGAAATACAGGAGGTAGGCTAGATGTGCCTGGGCAGAAGTCTACCATTCCCGATCAATCAATCAGCAGCTGGACAAGCCTATAGAAATAGGTGCAGCCCAAACTGCCCCCTGGTGGTGGATGCCTGAAACACACTGGAGAGGTCCCAGCAGAGGCCCACCTGTCTCGCTGTGGGTCAGGCCAGCAAGGTGAAGCCCTTCCCCATGCCTGGCCAGCAGCCACACTGCTAACAGCTGTCTCTCCCAACCACAGGCCCAGCCCTCCTCTCTACCCCCTGTCCCCTTCCTGCGGATATAGACAGCACTTCCCTGCCCCCACTGCAGCCCCTGGCGCCCCCTACCCCAGGTGAGTCCCCTACCCTGCAGCCAGGCTCCTGCTTCCTGTTGCCCAGGCTTCAGTGCCCACACAAGGCCATGCCCAGGCCAGTGCTTGCCCTCTGTTGGTCGTCTGTCCATCTGTCCGTGTGTCATTCTGCAGCTCCCTGCTGCCCTGCACCTGAGAGTGAAGATAGTGGGAGTGCAGCAGAACACCCTCTGCCCCGCGTCCCTGCTGGAACGGGCAGCTCAGAGGACGCTCTTGGACATCCCCTGAGCTCTGCCCAAGCCGAGGCAGCGCTTTACCTGCTCAGGGATCCCACTCCTGTGCGAGCAGGAAGGAGCCGTGATCTCTACCGAACAGCAGGAGTGGGAGCCGTGTACATGTCCCTTTCCTTAGCTGACTTCCTCAGTGACAGACCTGGTGCCAGTCATGCAAGGGTCAGACATTTTCAGCCTCACTGGTGCTCACAGCCCAGGGCCCAAGGCATGGACCCAGTACCAGCTGAGTGGACCAGCTGGGTGAGGGGAAAGTCCTGAGGAGACTGAGACTAGCCAGGCCTGATGTGTCAGGGAGAGTGTCACGGGAAGGGTGCCATCTCCTGAGAGAGGGGGACAAGGGGAACTGCGGTAGTCAGGCAGCCGGGACGGGGAGCGATGGGAAGCCTGGGGAAGAGATGAGGCTGGAAGTGCCAGCAGGGATGTCGTGCAGGGCGTGCAGGCCCCAGGGAGGAGCCTGGGTTTCATCACAGGCAGTTGGGTCATTTCAGCAGAAGCACTGGGAGCATTCGGATTCTTTTCAACGGTCACTCTGGCTGTTGTATGGAGAGGCCTGGGAGGGTCGATGAGGAGAGTGAGGACCAGCCATGGGTTCCGGCTGGGCTGGGGGGGGCAGGAGGTAAGGAGATTGGCTACAGCTAGCGGGACTCAGCAGCCACCTGAACAGCTTCTATCAGTCCTGCAGTGTGTCTACGCAGTGTGTCAGGAGTGGGTATTTGTATCTCCGTGTACTTGTGTCCAGGTCGATGGGGCTGGGGTATCTGTTCACCTGTGTTCCTTTGTACCGTGCAGGGGCCTTCATGTGTGTCCAAAGGTCTGGCCCTTAATTTCCGGTTCAGAATTAACTCTCTTCCTGCCTCCAGGTTCACCCACCCGTCCCTGATGCTAGGCTCCGGTGTACCTGGTCACCCTGCAGCCATCCCCCACCCGGCCATCGTGCCCTCCTCAGGGAAGCAGGAGATGCAGCCCTATGACCGCAGCCTGTGAGTGAAAAGGCACGCCATGAGGGGTGGGGCGGGAAAGTGTGCGACAGGCAGGTGAGCAGTCTCTCCGCCAGGACACGCATGGCTCCCACCGCGCCCAAGCCTGCTGCCGGCAGCTCCAAGGATTGCCAGGAGGCCTATCTTGTGGCTGTGGCCGCTGTAGTTTTTGATCCTCAGAAGCAGGAGGGGTTTAGTAGGAAACAAGGATTTTGTCCGAGCCAAGAGGGAGGGGCTGAGAAGTCCCACACTTGCTTTCCCTCCCTGGCTGTAGTGTCCCTGGTAAGGAGCAGTTACTTAACTCTCCGCTCACTCGCTGGGAGAGCTGAGAAGGGATACCATTTACAGAGCCCTGAGAGTGTGCACTTAGCCCACCCGGAACCCCGCTGCTCGAAGGCAGGGATGGGGCCGGTGGGGTCCTGAGCGATCTGGGTATGTTCCGCTCAGGAAGACGCAGGCGGAGTCCAAGGTGGAGAAAGAGGCTAAGAAGCCAACCATCAAGAAGCCCCTCAATGCCTTCATGCTGTACATGAAGGAGATGCGAGCCAAGGTCATTGCAGAGTGCACGCTCAAGGAGAGCGCCGCCATCAACCAGATCCTGGGCCGCAGGGTAAGGCCACGGCAGGGGGCTGGTAGGGAGGGCCGACCACCTTCGCCCTGCTTACTCCCTCGTGCACCCGTGTGCCCTCCCCCACTGCAGTGGCATGCGCTGTCGCGGGAAGAACAGGCCAAGTACTATGAGCTGGCCCGCAAGGAGAGGCAGCTGCACATGCAGCTGTACCCGGGATGGTCGGCGCGGGACAACTACGTGAGTGGCCTGTGACGCAGCAGGGGTGGGCAGGAGGGCCTTCACGAAGACGTAGCTCTAGCCATAATCGCAGCAGGGAAGGCACAGGGGAGGGTGGGTGTGGAGGCCAAGGCCTCCCTTGGCTTATGCAGAACAGACCAAGCCAAAGCAACATCCCCTGAAGGCAAGCCCACACCCTGTGCTCTGCTCCAGAGGCACTCAAATGGCGTTGTGCAACACATGACTGGACTGTATGGCAGAAGAGGAAGCAGGGACCTGCAAGTCCCCTCTCTCTATTCAAATTGGAGGCCACTTTGGGAGAGAGAGGGGGTCCCTTATGCTCGTCATCGCAGCCTAGCAAGGACTGCAGTCAAGAAACACCAGGGCCTGCCATGGTGACACGCTGTTAAGCTCCTGTGGACCACAGGCTGGGACACAGGAGGCTGAGCATGGTGGCGTGTGCCTATAACCCCAGCAACTCAGGGAGGATGAGACAAGAGGCTCACGAGCTCGAGGCTGACCTGGGCAGTATAGCAAGTCCCTGTCTGTAAAAAAGCTGGGCATGGTGGCATGTGCTTGAGAGTCCCGGCTGGGAGGCCGAGGCAGTACTATGACATGGGGCGACCCTGTCTCGGAAGTATATATACATAATAGAGAGACCCTGGCCCCCGGGAAGGAGGGGCCACAGCCCCAGGGCCAGGCTGGATGGCAGGCTGCAGCTACCCCAGCACCTGCCCCCAGATCTGAGGCCCCTTCCTCTTGTTCTCGCAGGGGAAGAAGAAGAGGCGGTCCAGGGAAAAGCACCAAGAGTCCAGCACAGGTGAGGCCGCCCCTCAGCAGTAGTGGAGGCTGCTGTTCATGCCTCCGTTTCAAGAGCAGCCCAGCTCAGGCCCAGAGAAAGGGCAGAGAGTGCAGTCTGGAACCTTCAGGACAGGGGGTGGGGTGGGGGCTGAGCAGCCCTAAGGCAGAGAGTCTAGATCCCCATGGAACTGCCTGAGCTCATCTGCAGCCCCCATGCTGCAAGGAACCCCACAAGCCAGGGAGCCACAGGCTGAGAGGGTCCTCTGGAAACGACCTGGATCTCACACGTCAAACTCACACAGTAGGAACTCCCCTCAGCCCCAGGGAAGAGCAGCAGAAGCCACTTCACGTGTCTGGTGTTGTCCTCCCCCCAACACACACACACCTTTGCCAGCCCAGACGGTGCATCCTGCCAGTTCTGCCTGGTTGGGGAGCAGGCTGTCTGGCAGAGGCTGAACCAGGTCCCAGGTCCAGGCCCAGCAGTCACACAACCTGTTGACTGGTGCCTGGGAATTTCTCTTCTCACTCACCCCCTTCTGCCTGTTCTTCGTGGCAGTGCAAAAGTGCAGTGTCTAGAGGACCCAGGAGCCTACCCCTGCTGCAGGCCTCCTTTCCGGGCCATTCCTGCCCCAACCCTGACCATTCCGACTCCACACCCATGGCGTTCTCAGCTGTGCTGCCCCCACATAGAGGAGGCTGGCGGCCAGGGCAGCAGGGACAGGGCAGGGCGAAGTCCCCAGCCCTTCTTTTTATCTGGGAACGTGTAAGTAGGTGTAGGCGATGGCCTTCATCTTATCCTTTGAGGGAGTCAAGCAGACTAGGCACTGGCAAGGATGAAGAAAAACGAGATAAAATGGGCAGGGAGCAGCACCAGGGCAGAAAGGCTGAATCCCATGGGCCTGCCTGGGCTCTTCTAATGCTGCAAGGAGGCCCACCAGCCACAGAGCAGAGCCGGCCTGAGAGGACCCCTCCAATCCTGCCATCCTTCCCACTGCCTCTGCTGCTTAGCTGGATACCCACCTTTTCTGACCCCTTGCTCTGGGCCCTAGGTTTCTCACTGGGGCTGGCTGTGCCGTGCAGAGGCCCACTCTGCCGATAGGGGCTACGGGTGTCTGTAACTGGCTAACACTGATGTTGCCTCTTCTTTCTGGGCCCTGCTCTGCCTTGCTGCCTGCCTGCTCGCCCTCTGCCCTGCTCTGCCCCTCTGGCATGGCTGTGAGCAGACCCTGGCTCGCCTAAGAAATGCCGTGCTCGCTTTGGCCTCAACCAGCAGACGGATTGGTGTGGTCCGTGCAGGTGGGTTTGTCCCCACCGTCAATCTCCTGTTGCTTCTAGCTGCTTCCCTGACACCCCACATGTTCTGCTGGGCTTGTGGCCCCCCTCCTTTGACCCCTAATCCCCATAGGCTAAGCAGAAGACTGGGGAGCCCATTTCTCCTAAGAATGGGAGTCACGGCTTGTAGAAAAGATCACCTGGGCCTAGGTGTGAGGAGTGGACAGGGAGAGGTGGAATGTTAGTGGGGAGGCAGGCTCAGGTGGCTCTGGTGCTGGCCGGACCTAGCATGTCCTCAGTACAGATCTGCCACACACCACTAGGTGGCCTGAGCCCCCGCTCCGGGGCCTCACAATCAGTGTGGCCCACCGTCTCCCTCACTTCTTTCTCCAGTCGGGCTTCCTGCCTGTACCACCAAGTCATTAACTCAGAAAGACAAGGTGACGACAGAGAACCCCCCAATAGCCTGGTTGCCAGGGTAGCCACATGACTTGCTGTTTTGCACTTAGGGAACCCATTAGGGCCCTGTGGCAACAAGCCTGTGTGTCACCATACAACAGGGAGAAGGGTTCACTCAACGAGTGGTCTAAGTTCTCACATGGTGGCAGGGCCAAGACTGAGGGTACTCCAGGTACTGGTTCTAAAGAACACTTGTCCAACCCCTCAGTTTATCTGTCCCATTCCTTATCCAAAGGCAAAGAGGAATGGGGAGGATCCAGGTATACGCATGCACACCCATATATCCGTGCAAAATGGTAAGCAGCTTTGTCCTCAGAGGAGGTCCTATCCCATTTATTCCATGCTACTCGCAGACAGATTATGACTCAGAGGACTCCGGGATGGTAATGGACGAGGTCACTATTTTTCTTCTAGTCCAGCTCCAAGGACTGGGATTAAGCCAAGAAACCACAGACACTGCACCCCTTACCATAATGCAAGATCTGAACACCACAAGCACACCTTAAGCAGCCTGCCCAGACTAGGAAATGGCTCCCGGGAGGCGCCCCTGGCCTAGCTACAAAAGGTCCCAGTGCCACCTTGTGGCTGTTCTGGGAACTGCACCTGTCCTAAATTCTGGCCAGACCCAGGAGAGTTGCAGTACTAGTTCTGATGAGGGCATCGGCATTTCACCCAAGTCGTGGGGAGGGGTCAGCTAGGCCCTATGCAAGGAGAGCATTTTTTGGTTGTGGTATATGACTATGAATTCACCCTCTGTTTACAGATAACTCTCTTCACTATTCCTAGGAGGAAAAAGAAATGCATTCGGTACTTACCCGGAGAAGGCCGCTGCCCCAGCCCCGTTCCTTCCGATGACAGTGCTCTAGGCTGTCCCAGGTCCCCAGCTCCCCAGGACTCGCCCTCATACCTTCTGCTGCCCTGCTTCCCCACAGAATTACTTGCTAGCCCTGCAGAGCCGGCACCTACACCCCCGAGTCTTTCAGCTGTTCTCAGCCTCCCCGCCATTGGGCCCCCACAGGCCCCCTGCAGCGCCCTGCAGGGTGCACAGGGACAGCAGCAGGCAT